AATCCACATTCGGTACAAAACCCATGGCCTGAGACATCGATTGGCCGATTCGAGCGATAAATTTGCCCGCATTTCGGAAGCCGTAAACGTCACCGATTTGTCTGCATATGTGTCGGGCGTCTCTATTTTGACCATCTTTTGCGTATAGCACTAACCCGTGGTCTCTGAGCTGATTAGTGGACGCGCCGACCACTTCGTAAATTCTTCCGGCGATCTCAATGCCATCTGTCAATCGATCAGAGATAACACTCTTGAGGAAGTGACGCATTCGCTTAGCAAACGGGTGATTGTCTGCCAGATTCGTCCGACAAGTGGTCATTGATAGCGACTGAAAGTTATCGTCTTTAATGAGTAGTCTAATGACAAACTCGGGATCAGCCGTACGAAGAAGTCGACTCTCCTGTATGGCCAGTGCGGGTAACAGTAAAAGTCGTGTCGGCGTTAGTATACATCTGCGGATTAAGACCACCGAACGGTTTGTCCACATTTCCACCTTTTGTTTGTTGAGTTCATAAAACGATTTCTCCAAATCAGTCATTGGATTCAATTCGAGATTGTTTTCAATTTTCTTTTGCAAATCGTTTAATGAGTACTCAACAGATGTTTGGCTCAATTGAGTCAACTCACGGACCAAATCCACGAATTCTTCAAATGTGTTGCCATTGATATACAATGAATCCAATAAATAAAATGAGTGATTAGTCAACGCCTTCAGTGAATACTCGACACCAAACGGCAGTCCAAACGGGGCTTCACTCGAAGTCGTCATCGGATGTGGAATCGATTCAATGGTCTCATAAGACTTGTCCTCTATTACGATCATCGGATCAAACGCTTTGATATTCGCTATAATGTCATCCAAACAGTTACTGCCATTGAGTGTCATTTGGATTGAATTGATTTTCGTTAACAAGTGTTCGTCCAAATCGAAGAATTTTGTTGTCCGCAATCGATATCCGGAGAACGGGTCCGAAGTGTTCAACACATTCGACATATCGATTATATTAAGGCAGAGAGCGTCCAAATGGTCCAACTCTTGGTCCGAATGGTCTTCATCTGTAAGCCGTTCATCAGACCAATGGCTGCTGAGGTCATCATCGGTCGGATAATCCCTGCATTTGCGGTCAATGAAGAAGTCGTCAAAGCGTTCATTCACTACACTATACATAAGTGGAGGCAATATTAGTCAATTTTATTTGCGACTATTTTGCAGACATTTGACTACTTTTGTGCATATTCTGTGGTCATATACTCACTGTTTGCACTAACCGTCCGTTTCTTTGATTACTTCAACATTAATGCAAACAAAATAGTGACACAAATAGCGATTGCAATGCCTTTTCTCTCTTTCTTCACTTATCACATCCATTACTTATTTTATATACACTTTGATTACGGCTATAACATGAAAGTTAACGTAATAACAGGTGATTATCGATAATTTAGAAACAGTTAATGACATTAATTGGTTAATACATGTGTGAACAGGCCTTCTAAGTACGACCGGATGGTTGGTTTGGTGTTATTTAAATCGTCATAAAGGGTCACATATCTGGAAGTGTGTCTTAAGTTTGGTGTTATTGAATGTCTTATTATTACTAGAAGTATACGACTTCCCGCCGATTGGGTTCATATTCGATGCCCACTCTCTGTGGCATTTGGGAACCATTCCCTTACCTATCCTTTGGTTCAGGTATTCATTGATGAAACACTCCTTTACAGAGATATTGATTTCTATGTGAATTGTCTTTTCAAACAGTTTTCTCTCAGACGAAGCAAATCATTCCGAAGTGAAGTCCAAAACTAAACTGTGATAACAATTACAACAAATTAATAATCAATTTTTTGCACCACATTTAACATTCCAGTGACGAGTCATTTGATTTGATAATTAATATAAAACTTACAAATAATTTATAGTATAATCTAATTTTATGATATTTTTATGTAACGAGATTTGAATTAATTTCTTTTAAAGTCTAGACATTATGTGCCAAAAGTGTTGGCCATTAACATAGATTTAGTTGTGATTATTTTATATTAGACACACATAGATTAATTTGTTGCCAAATTCCATACAAAATATATCACCGGTATATTTATAAAACAATTAAGATTTCTAATCATTTTAAGTCATTTTTAATTTTGTTTAAAATTACAATTATTAAAAATAATAAATTATATTTAGTTTATAATATAAAACTCAAGTCTCATTTGCATTCGAGGACAGAATACTATGTGATTGTTGGGCCGGGAATGTAGACAACGATAACCGGGTATTAATCGTTTGAATTATCGAAGAACTTATTAGATCCGGTGCCGTATTTGGATTGCATCAGTCGGTCGATACCCATCTCTTCGTATTGTTGTTTTGTGAGCCAAAACTGTGGCTTATCTTTCATAACGTCGGCCAAAACAGCGCCGCCGATAAACACCATATCTTTCCTTCGCGGCGGGTCTTCGATACGGATCTTGAATTTCTGATACCATTTCAAAACACTATTAGTATAACCACTAAATGAGGCCTTTTTAATGCCAACAAACCTGTAATTTGTCGACATCTCCCTTCAGAACTCGCTCTAAATATAATTGTTTTAATTCTCGTTCAAGTCTTGATGGGAGTCCGGGATACATAGTAGAGCCACCGCTCAGTACTATATGTTTATACAAATCACTTCTGATGTCCATATCGGCGCTGTTTATAGTGGAGAACAGGAGTTCCGCAATCCCTGCACACCATATCATAGTTGGTTTAGTAAACCGTATAAAACTATAAAAAACTATATCTCATACCCTGTCCTTCAATGTTGACCAAATGCGGTTGGAATAAAGCTTCGGGAGCTTCAAAGCGTTCACCGCCTAGTTTTATGACACGTCCGTCGGGTAGCTATCAATCAATTAAATCAATGAACGAAAAGCTGTGTATTGTATTGTAAATGAGTGGCCATACAGTGTAAGTCTCAGTCAAGTAAGTGGTCTCCTGTGCTAATCGTTGTTCCTGTTCGCAGTTGTAAGCGATGTAACACTTCTTCTCCTTAAGCATACGAACCGTTTCAAAGTCTGCCGTATGATTGAAGGCATAGCCACGAAGTAATAGCAACTATTATTCAATATAAAACTTTGTTTAAATCATAGCCTCTTTGGTAAATACTGTATCTATTTTGGTTACTTTAATCAGATATCGAGTGACTTCACGGCCGGCTATGTCCAGACGCCGTGTCAAATGCGGTAAAGCATAGCCTTCATAAACAGGACATATATGGGTGACTCCATCGCCGATATCAACCACAACACCAGTCATTAGACCTAAACGAGTGATACAAACAAAATAATTATCAATTGATAGATGACATGAAGAAGCAATGGATGAATACCCTGAGCATAGAGTGTGAGCACCGCTTGAATGGCGATATAAGTGGAATGGAAGCCATACTTTTCAAACATCATTTCAATCATCTTTTTCCGATTGTTGATGGGATTCATCGGCGGTTCGGTTAACAAAATCTTGCAATTTTTCGGATCAATCCCTAAACGATTATAGAAAGTATAGTCCCATACGTGACACATGTCCTCCCAATTACGGACAATGCCTTCATTTGACAAAACAAAATCATATGTCAAATAATGTCAATAAGTTTTTCATTGATTACAAACCATTTTCCATGGGATACGACAACTCCAACAGTGATCGCAACTTATTTGCCTCTTCGCCTACCATTAAGTCCTATCATTTATATTAGTTAGAGATAATGTAGTCATAAATATTCAATAGTTATGAAGCAAATCAATACAAGACAATTGAATTAAATGAATAAAAATTGAGTTAATGTCTTACGGATTCAATCACTTCCTGTTTCTTTTCAATCAAACAAAACAATGAATGATTGATAAGAGAAATAGTTTTACATTTTATAAGTGATTTATAGGTAAGCATTAAAGGAGAGAAAAGGACATTAAAAAGTGGTTAGTTTTCAATACAATTAATTGGATTGCCTTTCAATTCATATCAAATTGAGATTAAGTAATGAATAGTACTTTCACTTCGATGTCATCTATTCGTTGTGCGGCTCTAATGATGGGTCGGCCGACGATCGACGGGAACGTATGCAACGGGAAGTTGGATCCCGAAGAGCCGCCGTAACCACACTTCACGAACTATGGCACAAATCATATTTGATATAGCATTAAATGGGTTAACCTATGCAACCAATCATCACTTACACCGGTTCCGTTGTCGCACACGATTATCTTCCGGCCCTCGCTGTCCATTTTTTGATTGTTAGTTCAATAAATGCTGCGAACGGTTAAAGTGAGCCAAATATGTGTTACAATAGTTATAATCAACTAAATTGTGCCCACATTTAAGTGTTGTATTGAATGAGTCAATCACTGCAAACACACCCAAACATTACACACAAACATAACATAACTATAGGCACGACATCTACCGCTCACTACCGCTCTCTATATCAAACACTTCAATACAATTGATGTTAATTACAGTTATATTGATTTGATTGCTATTTAAACCATATTTGAATGTAAGGCATGGATTTGAATGAGACGAATGAGCATCGATTGAATCACTATTCATATGATAGTTTCTGCCGTCTCCTACTTAATCATAGTCTAGTACTTGAGATGAGTTGAACCAAAACTTATGAATTGCATCAAAAGTTGGACAAAGTTTTGATTCTCACTGATTCTCACAGAATTTCTCACATTTGAATGCATTCACAATCCAAATGAAATGTATGCGCAAAATGTTATACATTTGCATATACTGTATATCATATATCCGTACATTATTTTGCACACAATATGTCAATAGAAAGCTATATCATGTACTGTACATGCAATCACATGAAATTCATGAATATGTAGACATTACACTAATAAAGCCATCATTTCACTTATTCCTTATGTATTAATAATACAGTATTATATAGTATAACTTTTAATACTGTATGGACTCATGTGATCATAATTGATACATAATCTCAATGTTTCCATATTTGATAGCCTATACAAGTAGTTATAGTAGTTATACAGTATATGACAATTATTGCTGAATGCCTTCAAATATTGTGCACCAGATTAACACTACATATGAAGATTCAATTGAAATGCGAGTTAACATCAATTGATAAGAAACGCCACAAAGTTTGCATTGAATGTCAGCTAGATTTTGATGATTGCATTTCAAACATTTATCCATTTATAAATTGATTATATATTGTTTTTACGTGTAATCAATCATTATTAATGATTAATTTTAATTTAACTAAAGTGTTGTGTTTATGGCAATCAGATTACTCGCTGGTAATCATCGCTTTAAATGGTTATAATTGACAGTAATTAAGGGTTCAATGAATACAACCAAATGTAATATAAAAAGCGTAACGTTATATGTGAAGAGCATTTGCGGGAAAATGCAATCATTTTTGACGATCAGACAAACCATTCGTTTGTAATACGATTTGTAATGAAAGCAAGTGTCGGCTAATTATGACACAATCGGTGTCGAAGATGTGCAACACTTGGCAATTGAGGCCACAATGTATGGCAGGTGTGGATGAGTTGTCGTTTGGCTGTGTTGTCAATAACCGAGTATTTGTGGCCCATTTGGACACAACTCATCTCAACAAGAGGTGTGGTTTGGAAAAGATGTCGACAAACGCTCTCTTCATTCACCACAAGAACAAACTGTTGATCCAATTGATGGCCGAACAGACAATTCACACACAAAGAGTGGACACGGAATCGGGCGTCGATTCTGGTGTGGAGTCGGGTCCGGATGTGTCCGAGGAATGGGCAGTGAATCGATACGAGTTTGCCATCAATTACTCGCAAATCAGATCCATTGCTGTGAAAGACAATCGACTTGTATTGAGACTAATATTGCCTCCACTTATGTATAGTGTAGTGAATGAACGCTTTGACGACTTCTTCATTGACCGCAAATGCAGGGATTATCCGACCGATGATGACCTCAGCAGCCATTGGTCTGATGAACGGCTCACAGATGAAGACCATTCGGACCAAGAGTTGGACCATTTGGACGCTCTCTGCCTTAATATAATCGATATGTCGAATGTGTTGAACACTTCGGACCCGTTCTCCGGATATCGATTGCGGACAACAAAACTCTTCGATTTGGACGAACACTTGTTAACGAAAATCAATTCCATCCAAATGACACTCAATGGCAGTAACTGTTTGGATGACATTATAGCGAATATCAAAGCGTTTGATCCGATGATCATAATAGAGGACAAGTCTTATGAGACCATTGAATCGATTCCACATCCGATGACGACTTCGAGTGAAGTCCTGTTTGGACTGCCGTTTGGTGTCGAGTATTCACTGAAGGCGTTGACTAATCACTCATTTTATTTATTGGATTCATTGTATATCAATGGCAATACATTCGAAGAATTCGTGGATTTGGTCCGTGAGTTGACTCAATTGAGCCAAACATCGGTTGAGTACTCACTAAACGATTTGCAAAAGAAAATTGAAAACAATCTCGAATTGAATCCAATGTCTGATTTCAAGCAATCGTTTAATGAACTCAACAAACAAAAGGTGGAAATGTGGACAAACCGTTCGGTGGTCTTAGTTCGCAGATGTATACTAACGCCGACACGACTTTTATTGTTACCCGCATTGGCCATACAGGAGAGTCGACTTCTTCGTACGGCTGATCCCGAGTTTGTCATTAGACTACTCATTAAAGACGATGACTTTCAGTCGCTATCAATGACCACTTGTCGGACAAATTTGGCAGACAATCACCCGTTTGCTAAGCGAATGCGTCACTTCCTCAAGAGTGTTATCTCTGATCGATTGACAGATGGCATTGAGATCGCCGGAAGAACTTACGAAGTGATCGGCGCGTCCACTAATCAGCTCAGAGACCACGGGTTAGTGCTCTACGCAAAAGATGGTCAGAATAGAGACGCCCGACACATATGCAGACAAATCGGTGACGTTTACGGCTTCCGAAATGCGGGCAAATTTATCGCTCGAATCGGCCAATCGATGTCTCAGGCCATGGGTTTTGTACCGAATGTGGATTGCATTGAATTTATAGAGGATATCACCGGCGGTTTGAAAGTGGATTCCTCTTACGAGAAGACAGAAAAGCCATACATTTTCTCCGATGGCGTGGGAATGATATCACCAAAAATGGCTGCCGAAGTCTGTCAAACACTTGGCATAAAAAATGTGTCCACTTTTCAAATACGTTACGCCGGATGTAAAGGTGTTGTTGTTGTGAATCCAGAGCTCAATGACCGGCGAATACTAATGAGAGAATCGATGAGAAAGTTTGAATCGGAATCAACTGACTTGGATGTACTGAAAGTGGGAGAACCCCGGAGTTGTTATCTCAATCGACCACTTATTGTCATTCTTAACCAAATGGGTGTTGAAAACAGAGTTTTCTTAGAGCTGTTACTCATCCGACACAAGCAATTGGTCGACGCCTACAGCTGTGACAGAAAAGCCATTGCTTTGATTAGAGACTATTCCGGTTTGCGATTGGATTTCGACAAACTATTGGATTCGGGAATCGATATATTAAACGAACCGTTCTTTCAGTCAATCATTGAGTCTACGATCAAAAAAGTTGGCCTCGATTTGCGAAATAAGGCCAGAATTCTGGTTCCCTTTGATTCGGNCGCAATATAATTAGCCAAATAAGTGTTAATGACGGCCACGAATACACCCAAATTGGTTGAGTGGACGTTAGCAGACGCCGTATCGCATTCATGCCTCAGCGCCCCTTCAAACCCAATTGTCCTCAACTTATAGACAGCCATTAGTGCCGTAAGCGCCGCATCAAAGCCATCGAATTCATTAACTTTCAAATCGGTAACTAATTTGTCAAAGATTTCAGCCATTGCTCTAATGATAGCATTGGTATCAATGTTTGGCTCATAGTTTACCAGCACTTCATTAATAGTGCTTTCCATCAGGTCTTTGGTTTTATCGGTTAATTCAACATTATTTTCAATGAATAAATTAACCAAACGTTTAATTGTTTGGTGAGAATGTACTGCCGGTTCGGCCGCCACTTGACGTATATTAGTATAAACACAGCATTTACTGCAATCGTGTTTTTGGGATCCATTTCTAAGCGACAGTTTTGCCAAATATGGGGACACAATCCACGCAAAGCCGTAGTATTTATCACTACATTCATTATTGATGCTATGGTTCATCTGATACCAAGCGCTCGCTTTTGCCAGCCGTTCTTCTTCGTCGCTAATTCCAGACTCAAACTTCTCTTTAAAGTCGTTAAACAACTTTTTAATTATATTTGTAATCAAGTCGTGTGTATCGTTACTATCGTTTTGAGTGGACATGTATTTGTGGGTTTTGGTAAACGTAGAGCTAACTAACGCCCACTCGCTCTCAATGCCAAACTGATCCATCAAATCGTGTATCGCTCTCTTGTAATCCATAAACATTTTTGTCGCGTCTTTCATATATTTGTCAGCGTTTTTGTCAATAAGTCTTGCATTCAATTCAAATGTCGAGTTTTGTCGACAAAATGAAGTAATTATATCATAAAAATAGCAATTCTTTTGATAGAGTCGTCCCAAAGCTTTGTTCGAGGCATAGGTCGGCTTCTCGTTGTATTTCATCATAAAATCCGGATATCGATCAGGTTTTTGGTCGTTCCTGAGTCGGGCGTTGAGCCCAGTCTTGGCGTAATCGAGTGCAGTCGCGTATTTATAGTCCAAATTAACACACATTTTACTAAATATACCATTAGGGTTACGGTCGGCCCAAACCAAATGGCAGTTAGCTATGAGTCCGACGTGATTGTTGGCTATGAAGCGCTCCATAAATACCAAAATGTCGCTATTGGTCACCGCGTGGCCCAAGTCTTCGGTCTCACCCGATGGGAAATACATAGGATCTGCATTCTGTCGTTCAAATATCAGATCGTTATACCAAATAACACTGTATTCGTCGCCATCCAAATCACTTCCGGCCATTTCGTCGGGATGTGGCCGATGGCCGACCGCTGGGAATACAATGCAGTCTACGATGTGATGGAGTGCCGGCACGTCGACGGCCTGTAGTTTGCGTACATCTCCCGCATGCATACACGGGTACTTCGTTACCAACACTTCGCGCTTTAGTATACGAGTGGATCCGCTCTTCTGATGGCTGTACTGAACGAATACTTCCCCGTATTTCAACGTTTTTGTCTCGTCTAACACTCCAAACATAACTCTCGCCGAATCAAAGGG